AAGCCGTAGCGAAGGAAGCCAGTACAGAATCGAAGCAGTCCCACCAAATCATGAAGAATGCGCAGAATTTTACATGCTTCGTAGACTTCATCTCTGCATACCAAGTCAATGACGACAACTAAAAGATATTGCGCGATCACAGCTGGAATCAATCCTCGAGCATGACGACACTAATATCTTCTGAAAAGCCGGATTCAGAATATTTGAAGGTTGAGCACAAGTAAATAACGTGATACGTTGATTGATTTTTGTAGGATTCTCCTCAAGTGGGTAGTCTTCAGGATTTGCGATGAATGTAGTCGTCATCCATAGAAGTTGATCGAGAGGGATACGACTCGCGAGTTGCCGCAAACGGCAATCGAGGGCCCCTGAGGCTCAGGCGTGGATACAGAGAGCATTGCGTCTTTATGGAGAAGCATTAGCGTGATTAAAATAGAACGTTGTAGTCGCTGAGCCGTGTATCCCGGAGGTAGTATACTAATGGCCGTTTCCGGTTAGGTCTAGGTCGACGGCACGTGCTTGCTTGGGCTAGCCCACTATCATGTGACCAGGTTGCTGTTCCACTTAGGGCTTAGGTTTTAGGGCTTTGGGGACGGAAGCGCGTCCGGCGCGCGTCCAGTCGCGTTAATGACCCAATACGATATTCAGTATACTCCACTATACGGAGACAAGTTCAACGAACAGACTGCATCCAAAACACAAAAATGCCTCACTTTGTGTCTCCTGAGGAGTTCCCTAGTCATCGCAATGATGAGGAAGTCCTTCCAGATGCTCCTCCAACAGATGCAACACCCAGTGTCCCCGAAGATAAGGAGTCCGAAGCGACTGGAAACGATACGAAAGACAAACTTGCAGACCTACTATTTGATGATGACGATGACGATGAATTTCCTGCATCTAGTGCTCCAGAAAGGAGGAATGAGAGCTCTGCTAATCGAGATGCAGTGGAGTAAGCACCAGTCACTCGATAGATAGAGAATCAGCCTAACGATAGTTGTACAGTTCCTCTGCACCGCAACCCGCTCACGTAGACACAGATACTATGCTTGCCTTCTATCAACGGCTTTTTCCATTTCGTTACCTTTTCCAGTGGCTGAACCACGGGATTGTTCCTTCCCCAGACTTTGGAAACCGTGAGTTCGCGCTTACCCTGCAGAATGACGCCTACCTGCGATATCAATCCTATGCGACAGCAGATCTGTAAGTGAGCGAACTCAGACAGCCTCTGGAAAAGACACATCACTGACATCCTCCCAGCTTCCGTAAAGACATCCTACGCATGAACCCGTCTCGTTTTGAAATCGGCCCCGTCTACAATACAAACCCCCGCGATCGGAAAACTCTACGAGGGGGTCAGATGAAGCCAGTTTCTAAGGAGTTAGTGTTCGATATCGACTTGACAGATTATGACGACATCCGATCCTGTTGTGAAAAGGCGAATATCTGTGGAAAATGCTGGACATTTGTGACCATGGCTATGAAGGTTGTCGACACGGCGTTGCGGGACGATTTTGGGTTCCAACACATCTTATGGGTTTACTCTGGCCGTCGTGGTGCCCACGCCTGGGTCTGTGATCCCCGTGCTCGCAACCTTCCCGATGATCGGCGACGGGCCATTGCAGGATATCTAGATCTCGTGCGAGGAGGGACCCAGAGCGGCAAGCGTGTCAATCTGAAGCGTCCGCTGCATCCGCATATGTCTCGTAGTCTGGAAATCCTGAAGCCTTACTTCGCCCAGACTACCTTGGTAGACCAGGATACTTTTGTCAGCTCGGAGCAGGCACAACGCCTCCTGGCGCTACTTCCCGACAAGACCTTAAATGATGCATTACGCAAGAAATGGGAGTCATCACCAGACCGCTCCAGCACGAGCAAATGGGCCGACATTGACTCCCTCGCAAAGACGGGGAAGAGCAGCACTCTGAACACTTCTACATTACGTGACGCGAAGCAGGATATTGTATTGGAGTACACTTATCCACGCCTCGATTCTGAAGTCAGTAAAAAGATGATTCACTTGCTCAAGAGCCCGTTCGTCATACATCCTGGCACCGGCCGCGTCTGTGTTCCCATTGATGCTCGAAAGGCGGAGCAATTTGACCCTCTTTCAGTTCCCACGGTCACACAACTATTGGGGGAGATTGATGCGTATGATGCAGAGAACCCCAGTAACGGCACAGGCACAGACGCTGTAGACGGGGAGGGAAGCATGCCCAATGACTCTGATGTGAGAGGAAGCCGCAAACTCCAGGATTACGAGAAAACGAGTCTCAAGCCATATGTTGATTATTTCCGCTCGTTCATTGCCGGTCTTCTCAAGGAGGAACGCGGTGGGAAGCGTGAGCGAAACGAAGATATGACGGAGGTGAAGACTGAAAGCATGGAGTTTTGAAACCCTTTGCATATAATGCCTATTGGTCTTCTACCTAGAATTCTTTGTACTTTTCGAGCGGTTTTGGAGTATACATGCTTAAGGCAGGGTTAGGATGCATGAGGCGTTTTGGTGTTGTCACAGGATTACTTAAAGACATAGGCATGATGATTACATATTCACCTAACAATCTACTAATCAGGTATATGAATGGTGACCATGCAACTATCATTCTAGAATTGGTGGTACTTAACACTTCTAAACTTAGGTAATCTTAAGAATCATAATTCCATACTGTAACTCAGTACAAACACGAGGGCGTTTTGGTATGCAGTTTTTAATATAATACATTTAGATGCTGGATTCGTTTCTATATCGATACACGTGCACACTGCCTAGCAAATATGGTCATAGGCGACTTGCATGAACAGACGTCAAGCTAACATGACAGGAAGTGATGATAAACTCCCTCACTAAAAGATCACGAGAAGAAAAGTCGAGAAAGGTAGGATTAGAATTATGAGTAGGGATTTAACCGATGCATCTTTATAGACACACTAATGCATCATTGATCCGCATTTAAGCGGAGATGAAGTTCTTGACGTCTAAAAGTTCCACTGTTAGATATGAATACTAATCTCTCACAGGTTGCGGTAACTTACTCTCAAGCCAGCGAACGTATTCCTTCTGCTCCTTCACCTGGATGTAGTCAGGAATCATGTTGGCGAGCTCTGCGTTGATACCTCTCTCCTCGAGGTAACGCTCCAAGAAGGTTTGGAGATCCTCATCGAGGTTCTCGAAGGGAGGTCCAGCGTAGAGGCTCTGTCTAGCCCAGTCCTTCTCAGCGGTCTGGGCATGTGCCAAGTCAGACTTAGAGAAGTAGGAGACCTCTTCGATCTGGAAGAGACCATCCTGGGCAACAGTTTGAATCAACAAAGCGCCGTTGCTTGGCTTCTCTACGGTGATGTTGACGCGAGCAGGGAAGCTGGGCTCCAGGTCACGGTCCAACTCATCCAGTTCGCGATCAGCTGGAGCAACCCGATCCTCAGAGTGCTGGGCAACGTTGCCATTGGTACCCCTGTTAACGGGCTGGTGGCCGGCCTCAAAATCCAGCTCGTCACTCAAAGCCTGGTCATCGAATTCCTCTTGTTCGCTCAAGTTCTGAAGGTCTGCAACGGTGAAGGTGAGACGAATCCTGTTTTAAGGAATTCATTAGAGCAGGGTACAAGGATGGGAAGGATTGGAGTATAGAAAGAGGCGATGGGAAGTGGAGATCCAAGACTTACTCCTCATTGCCGAATTTCTTCGTCAACACAACTTCCTGGTCACCGGGGACGTCCTTAACCTGCAAGCAGACATAAATCAGCCGTTGTTAATGCGAAAACATTTGATTCGGTGCACATACCTCCCAGGAGTTGTTCTGAAGAACGTACTGGATGTTCTGGACGGAGGAATCCAGATCCTCAAGACCGGAAGCCTTCTCATGCTTCAATTCATCCTCAAGCTTGGCAGCAAGCTCAAAGTCGCCTGCAGATGGAAGTCGTTGTCAGCGCAATCGAGAGAAACGGGTATCACATCATGCCACAAGTCTTGAGAGGTTTTCTTTCTTCTTTTTCCTTGTAATTCGGCCACCAGATTTTGGATGGATTATGCATTCAAATTCGTCTTACCTTCAGCTTGAGACTGCTTGAATACGCTAGAAGTCGAGAAAGCAGCGTAAGAGGGCTTCAGAGCAGATTGCAGAATGACATTTTTAGGAGCAGTCGTCGGGACAGGTCGGAAGAGAGCAGAGCGGGAAGAGGTGACAATGGTGCGGGAGATAGTGCGAGGCACAGAACGGGCGATGGTGCGTAGCGACAACATGATGAATTGTGAGGTTTAGATGGATGCAAAGGATGTTGGGTTGGGGGGGAGAATTTTAATGAAAGTTTGGAGGTGACGAACAGGAAACTGATGATGTTACCGCTGCCAAGAACAAGCTCGGGAGCTCTCGACTTGTCAGCCTGAGGCATTCATACTTTCCCGTCCCCAACTTGAATAGCAGTGACCTATTGACCTATACTGTATACTAGTAATGTCCATTGAACTCAGAATTATTTAAAGTTATAACACCTTGGGCAACTGGTAGCAATTTCGACGATATATTATGCTCTTCCTGCCTGCATTCATCTGCAGGCGATATACCACCACTCGCCAAGTGCAACACCTAGAAACGTAGAAATATATTTTGTGACATTACCGTCGGTTTTACAACTGGTGGTTGCTACCAAGTAAAAGAATATCCCAAAGCGATTACAAATACTAGTAAGATAACAGAAAGAGAAGATCAACTGAATAAGTCTAATGAGGTATGCCCCAAGGATGGGGGAGACCTCGGAGTTTAATGAGGTTATATCATGAGAAAGAGTAGAAAGTGTCGATCTTAAGATTTGGCATAAGTTAGATCGAAACTACAGCTTTGGCCGACAGACATAACACATTTGAGAGTCAGCATCACTGCAGAAGGCGTTGGAGTTAATCACTGCCGGTGTTTCTGATGAGAAGCTGATCGTCCCGTTGCCGTTATTTTGTTTACTCTTTCATACGATAGGTAATAACCCGACTGGGATGCGAAATACCGTTACAGATGCATAGCAGACGATTTTGTTGAATGTGCTTTTGAAGCCAAACCTCGAAACATACTAACGAACATCAAGATGCTGGTATATACGGTCGTCAACGCCATTATGTGCCAAAACCAATGCGAGCGATGCGGTCCCAAAACAAAACCATAACAAAAGATCACGACATCCCTTTAGGAGGAAAAGCCGAAGACTGCTTCCCACCATCCTTGGTCAAGCGAATGAACTTCATGCTGCTGAGTCCGGACCAATCTCCGTTCCATGAGGCAAGAGCCTTGAGTACATCTTCCTGACCAAGATCGGGCAGCCAGAAACCGGTCTTAAACTCCTTATTCTCTGCGTCTGTTCGCTGTAGGAGATTCTCCTCCCGTTTGCTTGGGGGTCGACCTTTCCGCCGCTCGCTCTGTAATTGCTCGATCTCAGGAACGCTTCGGTTGATGTATCTATGCCCGGAAGTGTTAATGTGCATGCAACATCGAATAATCGCTAAAGGGACAGTTTCCTGCTTCAACTTACCTAACAATTAAATTCATCATGTCACTATCCGAGAAAACGCCTGCATCCTCCGGGACATTCTCGTGGAAGTATACGATCCGGTCAACTAGGAAAAATATTAGAAAAGTCCGATCAAAAACAGAGGATCCTTTTTAGAGCTTACTGTATGACTGCCGTCCGCGGGCCAGGGTGGCAGAGACACGAGCAACCCGATCGTCTCTAATGCCTGCGCGGCGCAATCTCTTCGCATCTCTGCTGTTCTCATGGAGTGCGTCAACTACCCCTCGCTTTTTAGCGATATGCTTATGGACCTTCTGTAAAGACTTCGGCATTGTGCGACTTTAAAGAACCTCCTATTAGAATTAAGGAAGGAAGTAGGCAGTATAATGTGATATGCGGCGCACAGTAAGTTGTAATCTAGAACCTTTTTCTTTTTTCTTTCTTTCTTTTTTTTTTTTTTTTCCCGTAATCTCTCCGCGATCCTTATCGTTCGGCAGAATGATAAGGCGGTGACGGTAGAGGCAAACGCCGCCAGCGTCCGGCCAATCACAGCTTCCTCTGTATGCATCGGCCTATCGCGTTTCTGTTGCGCGTCGGAGGGTTGACACTGGCAGTCAACTTACATTCCAATCTCGTTGTCTAGGTCATACATAACTCAATGACCCGCCAAGGTGGTTGATTGCCTTCCAACTTCTATTTCTAGGAAAGTTTCTCCCCATGGTTCTCGTGCCCGCCGCGCCTCTCGAGTCCTAACCATCGACTGTCAGAGCTGTTACCCGTTTTGGATGTTCAATTTGACAACCTGACGAGGAGCAGCTCGACTTTCGAAGGTTTCCACAATGGGCATTAAAGGTATGCCCAGCTTCACTTTGTCTTTTTTGGAGTGCTCAAAGAAGATTGACTGGATAGCTAGGGCTCCATGGTCTTCTCAAGTCAATTCAAAAACCATGTCATCTGAAAAAGTTTAGCGGACAAACCCTTGGGGTCGACGCATATGGATGGTTGCATCGTGGTACGGTCGCCTGCGCGGTGGACTTAGTCTTGGACCGGCCAACGACCAAGTATGTAGTTTTGTATGGAATATTCTTCGAGATAGGTGCTAACGTGACTGTAGACATGTCGATTTCGTGCTCAACCGGGTCCGCATGTTGCTTTATTTTGGAGTGACACCATATCTCATCTTCGACGGTGACAATCTACCGAGTAAAGCCGGTACCGAGTCTGATCGGCACCAGCGGCGTCAGGAAAGCAAAACCCTTGGGTTGGAACTGCAGCGGAAGGGAAGGACAGCAGAAGCTTATCAAGAATTCCAGAAAGCGGTGGATGTGACCCCTTTAATGGCTCGTCAATTGATCGACGAACTGAAAAAGATGAATGTTCAGTATGTGGTGGCTCCTTATGAGGCAGATGCACAACTCGTATACCTTGAGCGCCAGGGCATTATCAATGGTATCATATCAGAAGACTCTGATTTGCTGGTGTTCGGTGCCAAAAGGTTGCTGTCCAAACTAGATCAGCATGGCGACTGTATTGAGATTAACCGAGCAGATTTTACAGCTTGTCGCGAAGTCAGTCTTATAGGATGGACTGATGCTGACTTTAGACGCATGTGTATCCTCAGCGGATGTGATTACCTACCCAATATTGCAAGGCTGGGTTTGAAAACTGCCTATCGGTGTATTCGCAAATACAGGAATGTTGAGAAAACACTACGGATGCTTCAATTTGAGGGCCAGTATCATGTTCCCACGAACTATCTGGAAAATTTCAAACAAGCAGAGCTCACCTTCCTTTACCAGAGAGTATTTTGCCCCCGAGCTGGAAAGCTCGTTACTTTGACTCCACCAGAGGATGATGTGAACCTGGAAAAGTTGCCGTACATTGGCGGTGATGTGGAGCCTGAGCTTGCATTGGGAGTCGCCCGTGGTGACTTGGATCCCACAACAAAAGAACCACTTGTCTTGAGGCCTGCACCCCCGGGTAAGCTCATGCACGGCATCCAACGTCGCCAGACGCTTGGTTCATCCGCCGAACTGAAGCCAAACAAGCCCATCAGTTCATTCTTTACTCCGAAACGGACTCCTTTAGCTGAGTTGGATCCAAATAGCCTCTCCCCCTCCCCCAGCCAGCAAAGGCTACTGGAACGACATGCCAATCGGTCCTGGGAGAGCAGCCCTGTTACGCCCCAGCCGGGCCTCGCCCGCTCCGCTACTGTGAATAGGCTATCGAGTCCACTGGTTAGGAGTGTGGAGCGGAACACTTTTTTGGCCCATGCCTCTAGAGCATCTACCTTGCAGCCCACCAAGCGGCAGCGACTTTGTTCTGAGACGGACGAGGCCAGCCTTCCAAGTCTTCCAGATTGCCGCAGCCGTTTCTTTGCTAACTCCGCGAATGTTTCAAGCCCAAGCGGTGCAAAGGTGACGCGCAGCAAGAAAGCGCGGAAGTCAGCTGTGGATGTATTTTCAGATGAAGTAGCCGAGGACATCATGACACAAATTGCAGGTTCGTCAGAGACTGCGGACCCCTGCAAGGACAGGGCTCAAACGCGAAATGAGCCTCGCGAAGGCGACCATAAAGAAACGGCTCCATCAACGACACTTACCATGCCGGAAGATTCGGCAATTGTGGAGCAGAAAGTCCTTGCAGAAGAGCCACAGGACAGTGCTGAAACGCCAAGTAAAGCTTCCGTTAGCGAGGACTCCAATCCTGAAGTGTTTCGTCAGGTGCTTGACTATCATATTACCAAACAAAACACTTCTCTGTTGTCTAAGTTTACTTTCCAAGCTGCAGAAGGGAATACCAGCCCTAACGTGGATACCTCGCAAACAAAAGATTCTCAAGTTCATCGCCCGCTTATCTCTAGATCGCCCTCTAGAGTGAAAGCTGGGGTGGCCCGGAGTCCTTCGAGGCGGCAACGCTTGACACCTTTGCAACGTCTCGGCCAGACCGCGCTGGCCCGGTCACGATCTCTGAACTTCACCCCTTCTCTTTCAACGTCAAGTGCCCTGGGCAGTAACATCGGTGCAAGCACGTCTAAGGCAAACCCAACTCCTGCCGCATGTCCTATTGCTCAAGGTAGTGAAGACATGATTGTTCCCGATAGTGAAGAAGAGGATGTCGATGGTGACGAAACTGGTCATCCCCGGACACCTGTCGCATTCAACCTCAAGCGATTTTCATACACAAACAAGTGATTCTGGACAGTATGCATTGCCAACTCCATACAAAACGGCATAAACTTTGGTGTGTTGGCGTTTCTTGGCATTGTTATTATCCTGTTGGGTTTTATCTGGATGAGATAAACGGTGTTTTTTGAGGTATCGCATTATTCTATATTATCTTTGGTCGTGTATACCCTACCTAGGGCAATATTGGACATAGACGATCGACGTCGGGACACTTTGAGTAATTTTTAGTCTATTTTGCATTGATCGTCCGCATGAAACCTGAACAGAACCCACAATGAGACGTAAATGCTGCAGGCTGAAAGGGACCATACTCCATAAGGGATTAGGGCTGATAAGCCGTGCGGGGCCAAGACTAAAGTCGTGCCTGGTCCAATCCCTGGTCCCTGATCGATCGTAGCGCCATCGGTGGGGTGGATCAGACCCAATGGGGCCTCGTGGGTCCCTCAGGAACAGTAGGCGGTGAGTCCTGGTTACCGGGAAACCAGCGGGTGTAAACAAAAGGTGATGCCCAGCCTCCTCCATTGGGAGTATACTCTTCATTCCCAGCCACCACATTATCGTCACCATCGTCACCAGTTACCTCAACTCTCGCTCGTTGTGTGGGAAAAAAAGAGAAAAAATTCGGGAGGCAGGCATTCATTGCAAGAGTGGATTTGGCTAGCTACGATCTCTCTCCCCAATTCTCCCCTTCCCTCTTTCTCCCCTCTCCATTCCTTGTACTCAGCTTTGCCTCTTTTTGGCACTAAGTCGTTGTATTCGAACCCCAGATCGGGGCATAGCTTTATCGGATTTTTAATTCAACTATCTGACACATCTCTTGTATACCGTCCAGGTCTCGTGAGCGCCGCGACGCAAAGCAGACATACATTTCTTGGATTCCGCCGACGTATTCCATTCGTCAAGGGGGTCGTTTGTCGAGCTCGTGCCCTCAAACCCACATTCCATACCCACGTCAAGACTTGCAGAACCTTCCGACATTCGTCGATCACCTTCATCAGACATAGAGTTCCACAGCTTGGACTGACAACTGAGACTATCGCACAATAAAACAGCTCAATCGGGTTGCGGGACTAGCCAGCACTCACTGACATAGTGCGCAAAGAAGCGCTCTTCGAACACTCCTTCTCGGGGTCCCGAGAAGAGAGTCATACAGACTACGGTGTGAAGCAATTAAGTGGTATAAACCTGGCTGAGACTTGACCGGTCAACATGGCGTCCGACTTTAAGACTAAGATGGCCCGTATGTAGCCCTTGTTGTCGAAACGATTGCTGTTTGTGTATACTGATTGTCTATGATTATAGGTTTCATTCCCATGATCGGTTACCATCACGTGCTTATGATAATCATTGCAGTGACCATTATTCTTCTCTGTAAGCTGCCTCCCATGCCATGCTATCACCTCTGGAATGCAACTGACAATATTAGCCCTCTTATTGGCCGGATGCTCGTCATCCTCCCCACAAATGCCCAGCATATTCTTGATCTCTCTCTATTACCAACGCTACGATCCCGTCTTTAACCTTGCGCAAGTGGACCCCGGCGTCGTGCAAGCAACAGCGAACATCGTTGGAGGGGCGGAGATGGAAGTCCGTGTAGGGTACTTCGGAATCTGCGTATCGCCATCAGGAGGCGCCTACATATGCAATTCGAATGCCACAGCCCTGGCTGAGGTCGTTACTGTTGACCAAGACCCGCTGAACCTGATTTGGGTAGCATCGACATTTAAGGATGCCGTGGTGTTCCCGTATCTCTTGTATGTTTCCCAGCACTCTTTGGTGATTCTATATGTATCCATGGCTAGGTCAGCTGACTTTTATAGAATCGTTGCTGTGATTCTCGCATTTTTCTGCTTCATCCTTCTGGCAACTTTCCCTGGATGGCACGAAGAAATGGACTCGACCGGCTCTGAGCGTGAGGTGAAGCCATTCCCTTCACGACCCGTATCCCAGGCAGCATTGGCTTTAATTTTCGTGGCATCCGTTTTTGTGCTGGTTTCGGTACTATGGCAGCACACGGCATCCGTCGCGGCGAGCACCATTGCCCAAGACATGGGCAATGGGAGTGTCAAGAGTGGAGTTGGCAGCTCCGCGATGGTTCTCGGATGGTTTGGATTTGGCCTGATGGTGGTGACGACGATAGGCCTGTTGGTGATGATTCTCAGCATCAAGCTGATACGGCAGTTGACGGATGAAGAATAATCTACGAGATACGGGAGGGACACACTCGGTCTCAACTTTTGTTTCTTTTTGCCTCTTCGTTTCCTTTATTTTCGACCTCATACATGACGCGCTTTCTGACGGCACGAACGACACACGACTAATACGACATTGAATTCTGAAATCACGATGATAATGAACAAAATCAATCAACGCCCCTATCACACCCCTCACGAGACAGTTCCCCCCGCTGATCGATCTACCTGTACATTCGCCCTGTTTGCACTTTGTCCGTTGATGGTTTACGCCATGTATAAGAGACGGTTTTCCTTTTAGTTATTGAATTGGGATGGGATGGTTGCGATGGGACCCTGGGATTTGGATTTTCTTTTTTACGTGGAACACCTTATTTGGATTTGTCAATGATTGACCGATTGATTTGAACGCCTTTTTGTTTTCTATGGTCATAATACACCAGCTCGCATATAGATTGGCTGCTGCTACCGACATGAAAGAATTATATTCATCATGGACTACAATTCATCGCATCCAAAATTCGTAAACCAGTATATGTATATACATACATTCAAACCGAGACAAATTAGATATCATGCCTGGCATATTTACTCGCCATCCTCAACCTCCTCCCAAATCGCAACAAAATAAAGGGATACGGCACAAACAACACAGTCAAGCAGCCGAGCAGCGTACACGCCCAGCCAACCCCAAGATTATGAAACATAGCCGTGGCAAACAAGGGAAACCCAGCCCCAAACGACGACCTCATAAAATCATTCCCCGCCAACACCGACGCCGCATACTTCGGATACGCATGAGCCTGATAACAAAAGATCCCATTAAAGATCAAACAACCCCCCACCGAAAACACCACCGACGCAAGAATCGGCACAATCCAATGCACGCTTTGGAAATTCCCCGTCCATCCAAACCAGAACAGCGAAATCGGGAGTGCGAACGCCCCCACGCAGGCCGGTGGGAGTTGGTGCTCGGGTGCGATGTTCCAGTTCTTGTCGAAGTGTCGAGACTGGTACTTTGCTTTCCAGTAGAAGTAGCCCATTATTGTGAGGAATGCTCCGATTAGGATGCCGAGGAAGGCGAGGCCTGTTTGGCCCGCGTTGAAGCCGTGGATTTCGCTGAAGACGATCGGGAAGGCTTCGAACCAGATGTATAGGATGCCGTAGATTAGGGAGATGTAGAGGTTTAGGAAGAAGACGATTGGTTCAAGGAAGCAGAGTTGGAATGGGCGGATGGCGGCTTCGAAGAGGACGTCCTATTTGGTTTTCGTTAGGAGGTTGTTGTTAGGGTTTGGGTTGAGGGTGGTAAGTGGTAGGTGGTAGGTGATAGGTGATAGGTGTTGCTGTTACTTACCTTAGGTCTGACATGGCTCAGTTCGATTTCCGCTTCGCACTTGTAGTTCGAATTCCCCGTGATCTTGCGTACGCGGCGTGCTCGTCGCCACAGGATATTGGGCGTGAAGGTTTCCGGGAGGAAGAAGAAAAGTAGGACCAGAGTGAACCCACTAGCCCAGAGCAGCTGCCAGATCGTCCAAGTCCATCCTTTTGCGGAAGAAGCGAACCCGCCGACTAGAGGGCCCAGGACGGGTGCTGAGATGGCGAAACAGCCCCAAATAGCGATCATGTAGTCGCGCACTTTCGGGTTCCACATATCTCCCATGGATGCTCCGCCGGTTGCAAGGGCTGGGGAGCCGATAAAGCCGGTTAGGAATCGGAATGCCAGGAGCATGCCGAAGTTCTTTGCGTAGATGACGGCGAACTGGAAAAAGACGAAGACAACGAGGGTGAGGATGTATGTAGGGTTTCGGCCTACGGTTGGTAGTTCCGAGAGAGGGGACCAGACCATTGGACCTGATGGAATTGTTAGTGTGCTGATTGTTGCGTTTATAGTTAGTTTATGAATTAGTGCGTACCTAGGCCATATCCCAGCACGAAGAGCGTTAATCCAAGTGTTGCGGCAACTCTACTCACACCGAATTGTTCCGAAACACCTTCAATCCCCGGGGTATAGATCGCAGATCCGATGTAGATGGCAAAAGTCAACAGCCAGATCTGGCAACTTACAAGGAACTTTTTGGTTGTGCTCCAATTCTGAGGATTCTACATGCGTGTTAGTATTTGAATGGTGGGGAATCGGGTCCAACGAAGCAAGTATGTATATGTACCTCAGGATCATCTGGTCCACGCCAGTCCACCAGGAGCGGTGTTCCTCTATTGACGCCGGCGGTTGAAGCTATGGAATTCAGACGGCGCGAAGCTCGTGACGCCTGTGACATGACGGCGTATAGACCGAAGGTGTCCTCCTCGGTGTCCGCCAACGTCGCTGCTTCTTCATCTTCGACGCTGGGTTCCGGCTTCAAACATTCTGTCCAAAGAGACGGATCAATTTCCTCTGGGTATCGTAGTAACCGATTCCCAGTAAAGACGCGCACTAGCTTGCCAAAGGTCGAATCGCGGATGGTCTCCATGTTTAGGGCTCGTCCGATTCAGCCCTGGTGTTGGTGCTCGCATCCTGATTCCTCCCTGTGGAGATCTGCCATAATGAGCTTATATATTTAATTGGTGGCAATTATTGAAGAGTCATATTGTTTTTAAGATTTTTTTTAAGCTTTTGAGCATGCTCATTTGGCGCGTATATTGGCAATGGTACTGGGTGTATAGCCGTAATTCCGTAATTCCGAGAGACGTCATAGTCGAGGCGGATGGAACCGGACGACAGATGTCAAATTGATGTCACGACTCGTGTGAAACCATTTAGAATCCTACTGAATCATACACAATACCGGCTGAGATGGTCATCGTGGGTCCTTGTTATTCCCCACATTGTGCCTAGACCAAATGCTTGGAAGAATGTCGTATATGGCGATTATAAATGCTCTCAACGCCCTTAGCAATGAAGGCTTACCAAGCAATATTAACAATCAACAAACCCTAAAGCCCTGACAGCTTTCCGGTTAAATAGCTGATGAGTAACGTATTTATGACTTTCTACATAATTCTACCTAGTAGAATTAGTGCGACGATCTCTATTCTCAATGGCTCTGGGGAAGGAGATATCGGAAGCACAGTTACAAAAGCCCTAGAAAATGAAATTGCTATCAACTTGTTTAACTAATGTGAAATCAACAGAGTACATAAGAGTTCAAAGATACTAATAAGTCAACACAGACAAACGAATCAAAGAAGAATCATGGCAGATGAAGAGTGTTGAAAAGTCGGTTTCCGGTGTCAGTAGCTCCTGTTCCCTTGTACTTGTTCTCCGAAATACGTAGGGTTATGAATTGGAGATTGGTATATTCTGCAAGAGTAGCAGTCAATATTCCACCAGAAACACATTCAGCTTGCATGTCAAAGTCCAGGATAGTCCGCCCGCTATTAACTACCGAGTCAACGAGAATGGTAGCAAACCTGTCGTTCAGAGGGTCGTGTTGAGGATCGGTGGGCTGACTAGCATGAACGAACAGGGCTAGTTTAATGCCCTGTTGACCCCGGATGCCATGGGCTCCCCACCCCTCATTAACGCTACTATCAGAATTTTGTCCTCCCCCCAGAGTTGATGGCCAGTAGCCATGTGGCCCTGGACATGGGGTATAGCGATATCCTCAACTCCAATGAGCTCTGGGAGGAAGGTTGCTGCTAAATACCAGCCCACGTCACGGTGTGCCTTACTCAAACGTGGTCCTTGAACACTCATATCTCTCATGGGCGTCATCAGAATTTTGACGGCTCCTGGGTTCAATTTATCGACACTGATGACATTCAATTTGGTGGGCTCACCGCAGCCTGACAGGAGGGAATCAACAAAATGAGGGTCGAGAAGTTTCAATTCAGGAAGAATCGCCGTGGTTAGGCGAGGAGATACATGATTCGGCCGAAGACATTGCTTCGCCTTCAATCCATCATTCTCAATGGCGTTTTTCAAGGCTTAATCCATAGACCGGCTTCTACTTGCTTCGTCCTCTATAACAACAAAGGCCTTGTCGGCTCTAGAGAGCATTTTCAGGTCAAGAGGACTATCTCCAAAAGCCAAAACTCCAAGATGGTGTTGGTTCTTCAAATGGTCAACCAAAGCCTCTTTCAGCTCTGGGGCCACAACGAAACCATCGCTGATACGACCACCTCCAATGACAGTAACCTTGTCTAGCAAACCTTCCAATTCTAACACATATTTCCAGATCTGAGCCATGCCACAAGTCACGACTACTGCAGCGACGTGCTTCTGCTCCGCGATGCGACGTAAAAGAGTCATAAACTCCTCGTCCATAGTCACTGACAAGGCAACAGCTTTGCAAACAGAATCATATTCATGGTCGTGGAGCCTTTCTTCATGAAGAAGAGTGACCTCTCGGAAGGCATTGTATGTGTAGGCCAAAGGACTCTCGAATACAACCTGTGCCGGTGTCTTTGGTCGCCCCCCATTTGCATATTCTAGGCGTGGAATAATCTTCTTCCAAAACAGGGCGCCAGTGTCTTGTGAGGTCAACGTACGGTTGGCATCGAGTACAATCATCACTTTCAAAGTACCACTTTGTATGGCAGGGATGCTATCAAGCACGCTGAGGGCATCAAAAAGGTTGTGCTGTTCGTCATGTTCATTGAAATCAGAGAGAAGGCGCTCAACATTTTTGGGGATCATGCTCGGAGACACGGCACAGAAAAGAATATTATTGCGGTAGCACAGGTCGCGAAGCACTCGCTTCTCTGCTTCCACCCAGCATTGCACATGGGATTTTGAGACGTGCGAGCGATCTCTTCCAGAATCATTGAGACGGCGTTTGACGATCTCCTCCGGGGGGGTATCAAGGTAGATGATATGAGTATACGTATCCAATTCGCTCTGCGTATGCACAGCCGATCCAGAATCCTCCCCTTCGTTCCAGAATATGAGGTGGCCTGTGGCCACACCGACCTTATCATGTGCTTACAGTTGTGTTTGATACATTTCACAGCTAGTTCACGAAAGTCCTGACGGTCCCTGTCATCCAACTTTTTGAACCATGTTATACCTCCATGAACGAGCTTACCAATCTCATCGCTGCCCCCGAAGTACATGAAGTCGTCTTCGCCGAGGGTCATTCTGAGCTGGTTCAACAAGGTTGTCTTTCCTGCACGTGGGATTCCATAGATGCCAACCACCTTAGGCTTCACAAGAGAAGAAAGATTCTGCGCCATGGTACCTAGGTTACCAAAACTGAGAGCCAAGCTGAGAGAATGATACTGCGAATGTTCAGAGCAAGACTTGAAGAGCAACCAATTATGTGTCAATCTAGCAAGGGAGGGATGACGACAACCCACAAGGGATCAAAGGTGCCTCTAAACGAGTAAACCAAGCCCTTTATAAACATATCTAGACAGGTATCAAGAGTTAAGAATCAGCGGCCAAAGTTACACAGACTATGTCCGGGTGATTCCATGTATACTTACTCACATCTAACCAATTTGCCGCACTGCAACTAATATGATAGCCAGCTCAGGGATTGGATGTTTGAAGCATGGGTGGAGCTATGGGTCTCATTGTTTCTATAATGTATAAGGCCTCCTGGGCCAATAACATTATTCTATCATCGTGCAATGAAATAAACTGACGATGCGAGAAAGTGGATACTTTCATCCTGAAGACCATTGGATGGCTGCCATGCTTTTTTGATTGAAATCCCATGGTTGCTCTGCGGCTGCGCACAGATCAGATAATAAACTGAATTCAATTGAATAACAATGGGATGGAAGCAATGGTCCAGATGGTGATACTCCGTAAAGTAGTCAACTAAGTGGGGACAAGGTACACTGCTCTATACGATTGTTAATGTAAGGTGTATATTGAAGGCCTTCTATATACAGCAAAACTAGATCATGTTCTACATAGCCTGCCAGAGACATGATTGACCGTTCTTGGACTCAACGATCAATTGCTGAAACCCTCAAATACACTGCCAGGAACATGTCCCAGTAACGCTTATAGGTCTTATGGGTCTAATGCAAGCCCTATAAGCTCAAATATAAAAAATACGCAAAAATGATTTCTAAGAGAACAGTCAAAAAGATAAAACTGGCACTTACTGACCCGTGGGCGAGATCCAGCTATTTAGTCTTACAAGGATGATTGGTATAATTATATGCTTAAATTAAGTGAATAACTAGGCACCGTCATGAAACAAGAACGGTAACTCTTTGGAGTATGCGATTGGGGGGTTATCTCATAGAACATTTTCCGTGGCATGGGAAGCGCAGCTTAAAACAATCATCCAAAAACAGATATAATATACATAAGAAAAAAGTATACTAGAACAGCTTAGCACATTTCGCCTCATACGGGTCGGGATCCATCGGTGGAGGCGTGAGATAAACGGGGAAACTAAACTCCAATATCGTCGTCCTGAACTATTTAATTGTATGAAACGTTAGCACAATTCGAGATAAGACATAATTTTCCCTACCTTAGAGTAACCGCTTTGTAGACCGAGTCTAACTTCGAGTTTATATGATTGGCTGATATTGCAAGTTTCAAACGATGGCGTGAGCGCGATTGGTAGTCGATGCTTGTTCCAGAGACTATCCCCAATGGATAATTCAGTCCCATTTGAAGCCCCATCATGGCAGACAACATGATGGATGTTTGACATGGTTTGTATGACCTGGAACTGTGTGTCCTTCTCGACAAGCCCAGATGCATGTGTCTCCGTTGATCCCACAAGCATGGTCTGGAAGTCATTCAACCATACAAAGCAGTCTCTGTCCCCGATCTTTGTAAGCTTAATCTTCAATGGGATGGGATAGCCCAGAAGTAAGCACTGTCCGTTCAGAAGTTCGACGTCAACCTGATATGCTAGCGGGCTGCCCGAGATAACAGAATCATGGTTGATGGAGAGAAGACACCTCCTTCCAAGGATAGTTTTTGGAAGGTTAAAGTCATGCACGGGATAGAAAAGGATATTGCGAGTCTGCCAAGTAACAGAGTGGTTAGTATGATTTGTCAATGTGCTTTTTCCATAGATCCAGGCTACTCAACTAATTTCTCCACTCCCTTTAAGAGACCAGTCTTTGTTACGGCCACGTCCAGAAAGTACCTGACCTCCCAAGCCGATAGAGTGTCTCCAGTCGAGGGTGGAAGCCTTCGTAGAAGATGGTGGGTTCTGTTCTTCCGATATAGAAACCCCGTGCAAGATGGGTTTGGTTTGATCTCATCTAAACTGATTTTATGGCACTCCGATGTTGAAGGAAACTAAAAGAAACGCGAAACGTGTATGAGTAAAAGAACCCGATATTGGCATGTTGTTTGAAGTCGTGAAACCTACCGTGAGGGAGAAAGGAAAGATGTGCGTCCCAGAGCCGACAGTTAGGGTTTTAGAAACGAGCATATCCGGCATCTTATGAGGTGGAAAAACATTTTGAAACCTTTGGAATAACTGCAGATGAGGAGTGTTAAGAAACGACCATCGCTGTTGAATCTCGGTAGACGTACCTGATGGGACTCGATATATTTCCCAGAACTTAGTCGGGACGTTGCTATCCCAGACAACTTGACTGTGATGGTTGAGATATTGACCGGTGACCTGTTACGAAGGAAGATATGGCCAGAGACAGTGTCTTTTTCTGTATATGCTCCCCTCTCTTGATCGAGTCGTATATGTAGATCCATTCCCGCTATTTAGCCAAGTCAATCGGAAATATGCCGGGTGCTTGTGACAAGGAGAATTCTGGGGCTAAAGTGTCAAGTCCGGACAATCGTAATAGGTTTCTTGGTCTGCTTCTTGGTTTGGTAGGGTCAAGAGTCTGTACTTATGATCTTGAACAATGATTCTCGTATTAACGGTTTACATAGATGAATACGAAGCACATATAACATCTAACGCCGAGCTGACAGCAAATTTCCATGACCAAACTGTCTCTGTTATTGCACCAATCTCGCTTGTTCCGAGAAACTGAAGCTGCGCTCGGGGAACTAAGTCGCGACCAGTTTCACCCGGCGTGCACAGAGATTTTTTTTTTTTTTTTCTTCTTTTGGTTCTTCATCTCTCGGTCTAAAGTGGTGGAAAAGCCGGCGCTCGGAAAATGAAGAGTATCGCCGGCTATTTTTATCTGCTTCCAGAATGATTCCCATGGCGGCCCCACAGTGCCGTTGGCCCAAACCCTAAAAACAACAGTACCATTGCTCATGAATTATCAGTAGCCTTGAAGTTAGTGGTCCACTGGGCGCGCATGTTGGAAGCTATTGTTTCGTAGAGTATTTGCCTTCTTACCTAACGTGTCTCCTTGTAAACTAGGGCTAGTGATATAGGAAAACTCTAGAGCCTGTGTAATTTGATGATACTCAGACTTGCCGGCTACTTCACTCTAGAACGGTAAAATCATGGATAACCAGTTTGGGCAATCAGATCAATCGGTATATTCCCAAGTATCTACTGAGAATAGTCCGCCACTGGGGAAAGGTCGCTCGCCTAATGTGAGTCTCAACCACAAAAAGATATGGTTTGGGTCTGCTCGAAGATGCGGCTACCTTCTGACACTCAATTGTTTCTCAGGAAAGGTATGATCGTGAAGACCGACTATATCACGGTGAACACGCAGAGTCTTTACTACATTCTATTCCTTTGGGCCCTCCCTATCCTGCCTATGAGCCTGAATCGCAACCGTTCAGCCATGAGCCTCCAGAACGGCTTTCTCTACGAAGTCCTAGTACGAAGAGGCAGTCGAGTCATCCACGAAGTCCTCAGTCAATAAGCAGAGATCCGTTTACCTCATCTCCTACCTTCACACACTCAGATGATGCTTCAACACCGGACTCATGGCGACAGCGACAAACTCCAGCGCCCAGTGCCCTTCGTCGATACCCTACCCGAAGGATTAATTTGGTCCAAGGCAGCGTCCTGAGCGTAGATTATCCAGTACCCAGCGCTATCCGGAACGCTATCCAACCAAAATATCGTGACGCTGGAGAAGGATTCACGGAAGAGTTCACACATCTTAGATGTAAGCACCCATGTCAAAGTAGTATGAGGAAGCTAACAGATTACAGATACAGCAGCTACTTGCGACCCTGACGAGTTCACCCTACGCAATGGATACAACCTACGGCCGTCCATGTATAACAGGTCTACAGAATTACTTATCGCCATTACCTACTACAACGAGGATAAAGTGCTCACGGCGCGGACCCTGCACGGCGTGATGCAAAATATTCGGGACATCGTTAATCTCAAGAAAACAGAATTCTGGAATAAAGGAGGGCCAGCCTGGCAGAAAATTGTCGTTTGTCTTGTCTTCGATGGCATTGATCCTTGTGATAAGAACACGCTTGACGTCCTGGCCACTGTTGGTGTCTACCAGGATGGAATCATGAAGCACGATGTAGATGGCAGAGAGACTGTTGCTCATATTGTTCGTTGCTCCCAATTGTACTCTTCGTCTTTTGCTGATTGATGATTATTAGTTTGAATACACAACTCAACTATCAATCACGCCATCACAACAGTTGATTCGTCCTCATGGCGATGAGCCAACCACTCTGCCACCGGTCCAGACGATATTTTGCCTCAAGCAGAAAAATAGCAAAAAGATCAACTCACACCGATGGCTCTTCAATGCGTTCGGCAGACTCCTGAACCCTGAAGTCGTTATCTTGATCGACGCCGGCACAAAGCCAGGACATAAATCTCTACTTGCTCTTTGGGAGGCATTTTACAATAATAAAAACCTTGGAGGAGCATGTGGTGAGATTCATGCCCTGCTAGGCGAACGCTGGGAGAAGCTCTTGAATCCTCTAGTGGCTGCACAGAACTTTGAATACAAAATCTCCAATATCTTAGACAAGCCTTTGGAAAGCGCGTTTGGCTATGTTAGTGTTCTACCAGGCGCATTCTCTGCTTACCGGTACCGAGCTATAATGGGTCGGCCTTTAGAGCAGTACTTCCATGGGGATCATACGTTGTCTCAAAAGCTAGGCAAAAAAGGAATCGAAGGAATGAATATATTCAAGAAGAATATGTTCCTGGCTGAGGATCGCATTCTCTGTTTTGAGCTCGTTGCGAAGGCGGGCTCTAGATGGACGTTAACATACGTGAAAGCTTCCAAAGGGGAAACAGACGTACCAGAAGGTAAGGCAATGCAGTCTGATGCCAAATGCGCGAGTGCTGATTTTGATAGGCGCCGCAGAATTTCTGAGCCAAAGACGACGCTGGCTTAATGGCTCCTTCGCGGCAAGTTTATATTCAGTCATGCATTTCAATCGCATCTATAAGAGCGGACACAACCTCCTTCGTTTGGTTGCTTTTCACGTCCAGTTACTTTACAACATCTGCCAGCTCATCATGACCTGGTTTTCCCTCGGTAAGTTGTATTGACTATGGACTTTTGACAGTATAATGAGGGCTAACTTGCTGCAGCATCCTACTGGCTGACCAATTCGGTCATTATGGATATTGTAGGGACTCCAAGCGCAACAAACAAAAACAAGGGCTGGCCATTTGGGAATGACGCGACTCCTGTCGTTAACAACTTCGTCAAGATCACTTACCTTGTCTTCCTCATGCTCCAATATATCCTTGCTCTTGGAAATCGACCGAAGGGGTAAGAACTTGCGCATTATTTCATGCTATGGAACTTTAGTTGAGAGACTAACAGTAGATCACTAGTTCGAAAGTCGCATATACATTATCCTTTATCTACTTCTCTATCGTCCAGCTCTACATCCTCGTTCTATCATTTTATCTTGTAGCGCAGGCATTCAGCGGCGGGAATCTGGACCTCAATTTGGACGACGGGGTCGGAGGTTTCATCGGATCTTTCTTCACTTCCACCAGCGGACTTGTGCTGATCGCATTAGTTTCGACATATGGAATCTATTTCCTATCCAGCATCCTCTACCTTGACCCATGGCACATGCTCACATCCTCATGGGCCTATTTTCTAGGAATGCCCTCATCAATCAACGTCTTGATGGTCTACGCCTTCTGCAACTGGCACGACGTATCCTGGGGCACCAAGGGGTCCGACCAAGCGGGCTCACTCCCATCAGCCCAGACGAAAAAGGCCGATGCAAAGACGAACTTCGTTGAAGAGCTAGACAAACCACAAGCAGATATCGATACTCAATTTGAGTTCACCGTCAGACGGGCTCTTTCCCCGTGGCAACCGCCCGAGGAGAAGGAGGACGCCAACATGGATGACTCGTATAAGCGCTTTCGGACCAATCTCGTGTTACTATGGGTCTTGAGTAACTCGTTCTTGGCACTTTGTATCAACAATGAGGGTATCAGGAATCTTTGTTTGACGGTATGCTGATTATAACCTGCTGTGAGGCATATGAGCTGACGAGAACTGCTAGACTTCTTCGACAGGTCGTACGGCCTGGTATTTCAAGATCATTCTTTGGGTTACCTCCGCATTATCGGTTTTCCGGTTTATAGGCGCTTTATGGTTTTTGGGCAAGACTGGTGTTTTGTGCTGTTTTTCGAGACGTTGATCTGGATGTTGAGCAGGGGATAGTGCCATTTAGAGCTAATTGGTATTGTCCTGGTTATGTATGCATATATAATAGTAAGGGTGGATTTGGCTATCGCCAGCTTCGTTGATATTTAGAGGAAAGTTGTACCCTTTTCTTCAGATAAAGGGCGAATGTGAAGAAGAAGAAGAAGAAGAAGACGAATAATAATAATAATAATAATAATAATAATTAAGTCTTCTGCGTCAAGGTTGATTTGTGACCCGACTATCTGATTTGACATAAGATAGTCTCTTGCCCTAGGGAGTTGGTTTTTATTGCGCAGCGAAGCGAAGCGTAGCAAACATTATATATTTGTGGAATAGTGTTGATGCATGTCATCAATCTTTTGAAGCCACAACCACACCGGCTATAGCAAACCAACAACAATTGCGAATCCAAAGTTTGTTACATTTTCTGTACTCTCTTGTAAGGGTGAATACGCCAAAATAAAAAGAGGAGGAATTGGAATGTATCAAGGAAATATAAACAAGAAGCAAAAAATAGTCGCGCCCGGGATCGAACCGGGAACCTTGTCGGTACTACTTTAGTAGCTACTAGCTCACAAATGTGAACGACAAATCATAACCATTAGAACACGCGACTTGATTGGTTTGTTGATTTGTCCTTTTTTGCTATAATACAAGGCCAGGGAAGAATAGCCCCATTACCAAGCAAGCCCTAGAGTAGTTACTATCGGACCAACCTTAAGGACCTCGACGGTTGACACCCTGAGTGCCTGACAGCCCGTTACGAGGTTAGTTAACTCGTCTGATGAAGTGAAAAGGTTAATCTAAGGATAGCTGTAGTTGCTGTAGCCTGCATATAGTGAGAAGTCAGGGCAATGGAAACCAATTATTTATTTATCGATTTATCTATCCGAGTGTATATCTAGATAAAACAACGTATGGTCTTCTGAGCTTCGGGCCCTTTGACATTGGACCACATTGTATGGTCAAGTCTGAGGTGTGCCCCAGACAGTTATCTTTAACGAAATGAAAATAGTCAGAAAGGCAATTGCCCAAGGAATGACCAAGACATGTATCGATCTGTAGTGATAGCAAGTAAATATCGGTTGACAGAGAGGAACATGTAGAGTAGCACAACTTGAGACAGACACCTGAGGACTAGGTTGAGTACCATAGCAATCCACCATTAACAGCCGGGTCCATACATTGAATACACCACCCCTCGCTATCCGAGACATACATGAACGCATCCTCTGCGGCGGTTTGTCATTCGAGATATGTAGTGAAACTCATGGGCTATATTGGCGCAACATTGAAACGCAAAACACCGTTGAGCCCCATTTTTGAGCGACTGGTGCAGTTAAGCATAGGACACAGTGGGACTAAGACACACTCTGTTATACTCTTGGTCACCTAATGGGCTTCCCTTCGTGAAGGGTACTTGGCCAGAATCCGGTCCAGCAGCGGTGCCTTGGGCAAAGGCGACCGAAAGAAGTAGCAGAGCTACGGGAAACTTCATTTTTATCAGGACCATCGAAGTATTGAAGAAGTTGTCCACAACTCGGCGCTAATCGATAGGCAAAGCCTCTTTAGTCAAGTCGGCTCGGCACCTGAAGTAGCATTCATATCTTTTACTTCTTCATGCCCAAAATCGAGTAAAAAGATTTGAATATAGAAATACAGTACCGACTGATAATCCAAGGAACTATTCTAATATATGACAAGGCCTGTGGACCAACCAGCCCGCCGTGAATAAACTCTAGCGTTGAAGACATGCTGCTGAGTACTCTAGCCCTCTGAATAGCGGCTCAACATGGTTAGCTGTTTGCGACCAATAAAACCAGCGAGTTCATTGAAGTTTTGTAGCGTAGCGCATAACGATTGGCTCTCATATTACCGAATGCGAAAGCTTCCTAGGTCTATGCATCGATCCGGTTAAGCCGAATGACTGCAGCGTAGTTTCAGGAGAGCCGAGGCCATTGCCTGGCGTAGAGATGGATAAATTTGTGCGTTTACAGGAAAAAGGATATCTCTACCAAAAAACTTCATCCGTGAAGATGCAAAAAATAGTCGCGCCCGGGATCGAACCGGGAACCTTGTCGGTACTACTTTAGTAGCTACTAGCTCACAAATGTGAACGACAAATCATAACCATTAGAACACGCGACTTCTTATGAAAGCTTTATTCCGTAAAGAAAAATATATACAATGTATCCCAACACAAGCATGACTTCCCCGGACTCTACACACCAACCCAGCGTCTTATCATCTGCCTCAATTAACGCCGCTATCACTTTTGTATTCATACTAGTCGTCGACGCTAATCGAAACCAACGTCAGCCAGTAGCTGGTATCCTTTCGCACTCTCGGAACGAGTTGATTCATCTCTAGGCGGTGGATACCTCACGAGTCAGACCGAGGGATTTAGGCCCACCTATTCCGCTAAAAACCATTCTCCATCCTCGCTTATCTCCGCAACCAAGTGCAGATGACGGAGGACTCCGTACAGATACCCACTAGTACTCTGTACATAGGAGGTGCTGACGGGATCCTTTGCGTCCCCATTTCCCATGGATAATTACTATCCATGTCAGGATGATATTACACTAGCCCTCATCAAACCCCCGACTCCAGACCCGTCAATCTGTTCAGCAGAGGGCATCAAAATCTATTCAGTTCTGGATAGTTAGAGCTTCTCAGGCAGTCGGAGTACTTTACTCCGAGATCATATAGCACCAGCACTGAGCCTCTGACGGCCTCAGGGTGGGGCGAGCTAAATCCTGGCCCCCAGCAACCGGTACCCTTAGTCCCTTACTCGTAGCCCTCCTTTGGTGCATGTGTGGTACGGGGAAACGATAGCACATGGCGAATGTATGGCATATCCCCGAAGTACGCCAAGGCTGCGTCGGTAAACCATTCAACCGCCGCGGCTCCGGTGGAGTTTAGTGGTTCACCATATGGAACCCTTCTCCAGAGGTCGACAAGTCCCTCCTTTATCTTGCCGACCTTTGTCCTCTCTTTTCTGATCCTGGAGGCTGAGACACCAGGAAAGATCAACAGCCATGGCCCTCCTCGGTCGACTTGTGCTGCTGCTCGGAAGCGTGCTGCAGCTTGCTCACTTGAGCTCCGCCCAGACCATCAAGTCAAAGACCGATGGCAGGATTATCGGTACGTCGGGTTTAGATACCTTAATGGTTTTTACAATGACCACGAAGAGACAATGACGCTGACACCGCCGCACAGAGGCCAACGAGGGCACTGTCGCACCAGCTGCCGAGCAGATTAATGGCAGCGACCTGCAGCTGACGGATACTATTCTGGCAAATCTGACCCAGTTGCAGCTCAGCAACATATCACTATTCCAATTTGCCAATGAGTCGGATCTATCGAAGCGGAGCCTCTTCGATGGCTGCAAGACATACCCGGGCGACCTGCTGTACCCGAGCCAGTCGGTGTGGCGCGTCTTCGACCTGCTGACCGGTGGCGCGCTCACCAAGACGGTGCCCATCGGCGGTGCTTGCTATCAGGACAGCGATCACTATGACTACGCCAAATGCCAGGCCATCCTGGCCGGCTGGACTGATGATGCTGTCCACGCGGCCGATCCGACCTCCGCCATGTCTCCTCTATACCAAGGCCTCACCTGCTTGCCCCAAAATGCCAATGTGAGCGGCGCGACCTGCGAGATCGGCGGCTACCCTACCTATACCGTCAACATCTCCAGTGTCGCCCAGATTCAGCTCGCCATCAACTTCGCCCGCTCCACTAATGTGCGTCTCGTTGTCAAGAACACTGGTCACGACTTCCTCGGCAAGTCGATCGGATACGGTGCTCTGTCCATCTGGACGCACAACCTCAAGGACCTCCAGTTCGTCGAGCAATACTCCGACGAGTCCTCTGACTACAGCGGTCCCGCGGTCAAGGTCGGCGCTGGTGTCAATGTCGGCGAGCTCTATGCCTTCGCGGACAAACACGGTGTCACCGCAGTCGGCGGCGAGTGTAAGGGCGTGGGTGTCGCCGGCGGCTACGTCGCCGGAGGTGGCCACTCACCTCTGACTGGTAAGTACGGCATGGCCGCCGACCACGTTCTCTCCATCGACGTCGTCCTGCCCAGTGGCCGATTCGTCACCGCCAACGCCCAACAGAATCAAGACCTCTTCTGGGCCCTCCGCGGCGGCGGCGGCGCCACCTGGGGCGTCGTCACTAGCGTGACCTTCAAGGTCCACCCCAAGCTCACCCTCAGTGGTGTCACCTGGGATATCGCCTCCGGGCCGGACACCAACAACACCGACGACCTTTTTTTCGAGGCTCTCTACGCTTACTGGCGTCGCTTCCCTGGCTGGGCCGATCAGGGTAGCTACGCCTACTCGCAGATCTACAGCCGCGGCACCTGCGCCGGCTACACCTGGAGCATGCTACCCTGGCTGGTTCCTGGCATGGAGCTGGACGACTTCAAGGACATGGTCGCCGGCATCTTCGACGAGTGGACCGAGATGGGATTTGACTTCACGCCCGAGTATTTCGAGCATGACAACTTCTACGACACGTGGTCGACTCACTTCCCCACAGAGACTGTCGCCAACGCCAACCTACACACTGCTAGTCGCCTCTTCCCACGCAAGAACTGGGAGGACGAGGCGCTGCTCAACAAGACGATGGACACAATTCGCAGTGTTATAGAGGACGGATCCGCCCTCATCCAGTACAATATGAACGGCGCCGCTCTTCCCGACACTCCGGACAGCGCCGTCCTTCCGGCCTGGCGCGACACAGTCTTCTACGGTATCTTCGGCGTGGCCTGGGCCGACGGCATCTCCGAGGACGAGCTCAAGGCCGCCAACGAGAAGCTCACCGACGACATCATGCAGCGCCTGCGCGATGTTACCCCGGGAAGCGGCAGCTACCTGAACGAGGCGGACGTCATGGAGCCTAACTTCAGCCAGGCTTTCTATGGTTCCAACTATGACCGCCTCCTCCAGATCAAGGCCGCGGTCGACCCCTGGGATACCTTCTGGGCTCCGACTGCCGTCGGCAGCGAGGACTGGTATATCACTGACGTCCCTCACTGGCTGACCTACCAGACCGGCAAGCTCTGCCGCAAGCAAGATTGAAGGGGGTTGGGCCTATGCAGACAGGATATTAAGTCTTCACATTTATTTTCATATTACCGTATTTTAGAATAAGAAGCAGACTAAGGCTGTATAATATATACCCCAACCAACAATGCGTGGGTTCTAAGCCATCGCCAGACAAAGAGTGCGCTAGGCGCAACTACCCACCGAGCGAATAGCCATCTGGACACTCAGCCTATCGACGGTCTCAAACCTTACGTTGTCCGGCACTCACCCACAAGATGTAAGGAAGTTATCTACAGAACCATTGGGAGGTGGGCCCTCCGCAACCCAAACGGGACGGATACAATCGGACAGTCTCCATAAGGGCCAATTATCGTTTGCTGTGTGGCCATGGCATACTGCTATGCCCAAAAAATTCGACATCTCGATCCAGATATTGGAACTTAACTATCATTTCCACCCCACTCTAAGGCAGTTACTAGTAGTTACACTAATTTCTGGACCCCTAGGAGCTAACACCCTGACTCCCTGAGTGGGAACCAACACGGCCCCACTACGTTTTCTGTGCTATAATGGTGTGTGTCTGTATAAGAGCTCATGCTAAGAGACAGCTTTGCCGTGTTGTAGAAGCTAGATAATCCTTTTTAAAGAAACTGGAGTAAAAATAGGATCAGAGTTTTTAAGGTACGGAGAACGTTCCATACTTAAAATTTGGCTCCGAGCGACCCTATTGGTAGTTTTATCGTCCGCATCGCCACGTTCTCGTGGCGCAGACACTGCAGTTGGAAATTCCCCTGAGAAAAGAAAAAAAAAAAAAAGAAAAGAAAACGACATCGGATAAGCCCTACCAGGCAGCCTCTAAATTTTCAAAATTTCAAGACGTGCGTGCTATTAATAATACTTCATTGCCAAGACTGGGTCACCTCGCTCCGCCATTTGTCGACTTTAGCCTACTCCATACAAACCAGCGGCTTGGCATGCTTCAGACGGCGCCATCTCGGTACCTTTCTTTCCTCTGGTGCTTGACGGAAGTTAAGAAAACTTAAATTGTTCTCTTATAAGTGAAGCGGGGATCTGCGGCAACAGAGCTTTTCTCTTATTTTTCCTTTGTGTATTAACTGTTAGTATGGAAACCCTGTTAGTTGAGAAACGACGGTCCACGTCGCACCAGGTGGTACGGATATTCCGAGATAGTAAAAAAATCTTGCTGCTTGCTAACACGTTCGAACAGTGCGACAACTGCCATTCCCGCAAGGTAAGAGCTGAAAGATAGCTTTGTTGTCCGACCAATGTTCCTCTTTTGCTAATCCTCCGTCCAGGTCCGATGTGACAGGAAGAACCCTTGCGGAAATTGCCAGGATCAAGGAACTTCATGTACTCGCCACCGGAGTTTGAGACGTACCATGAGAAAAGTCTCCCGTCAAAGTGACAGGCCAAGCAATGCAACTAAATCTTCTCGGACTTCCACCCACGCCGTGCCTGAGCTGGGCTCGTTCCGGGGTCTACTAGATCAGCAAACCGATACTTATTCACTCCCTTCTGAGATGGATAATGATAGCTTACCAATGGAGATGCCGGAAGTCGGATCTCTATTGACCAATCGTCCACACGTGGCATATGAACTTCATAATTGGATCTCGATCGTCCCCCTGACAGATGCGCAGATGGCCAGCCGGCACCGGCTGAGTCGCGTTCAGGGCCTTGCTTGGAACAGACTGCAGGTACTTGAGTCTGCACTGTATGCTGCGAGTCAGTTTACGGAAAGTACGGGAGGCTTTGGGAAACTGCCCAATGTCGATGACCCGAGTGAAGAGCAACGCCAAATTCCGGCCCCTGAATTTCTAACTTGGATGCTTAAAGGTATTGAAACCTTCTTCATTGGTCTCTGTCATGTGGTGGTGGCTGACTTGTAGTTATCTGATCAAACTAGACATTGGCACTGATCTCTTCGGACCATACGTTCGGGACTATTTCCGGCACGTATCCAAGCAGAGCCTTGAGAAGATGGGGATGTCCCTGCTACGCAAAGATGCATCGCCATCTGATACAATCCTCTACACTGTCTGCGTTAACTCTATAGCGTACAAGTTTCTTACTACAGTGATTATGACAGAAGAGCATGGCGAACTGTCCCAGAGGCTATGGCATAATGCGCTACAGTACCGAGCGACAGCACAGGCAGCATTAAGAAAGATCCCACTCGTAACTACACCATCTTTTACACTTCTACAGGCAGTACTCTGTGGGGTGAGTTATATGAAGACTCCTACATGGTTTAGCCTCTAACCAGCTTCTAGATCTTTCTATTTCAGGGATCGGGAGATACCAATTTTTGCTGGGAGTTGACTAGAACTGCTTGCAGGATTTGCACCGATATTGGCCTTAACACCACTGCTACAAATGGACGGGCTCTCAGTGAGGAGGAGTTTTTCTGCTTCATATGGTGCTATAAGCTGGATAGAAACTATGCCTGGAAGCTTGGCCGATCCAAGGGTTTTCTGGATGCCACCCCTGAAGGGATTTTGCACGCTTCTACCCGGCTGAATCCACCAATCTCCGAGCTTCTCCTACTATATTTGGACTTGGCCCAGATACAGGACGGAATAATACCTTTCATCAAGGATCCCTCGTCAGCAGATGGTGAGCATGCTGTCCCGCCAGTCACAAACTTAAGAGAGCAATTACTGCCGAGGATGGAGGATATTCGCAGCAGAATCGACCAGGTAAGTCGTCACCCCAGCCTACTTTGAATCTAATAGATGCTAACTACGAGATTCCTCTTCATAGATTGCACCACCTTCTAATCGCTGGAAAGGCCTAGATAGCCACAGCGAAATTGCAGCCCTCGATTTTGCCTATCACTCAGTTATGACAACTATTCTTCATCTGATTCAACTTACCCCAGGGCAGACCCTTACTGCCAAGGATCTCTACTTGGATTCAGCACGTCAAGAACTATCCGCCTTGGTGTCCATATGCCTATCAGCCAACAAGCAAAGTACCGTCGCCTTTCTACACTGGTCAGTGATAACCTTTTTACAAACCTAAAAGATGAGATACTAATAATTCTTAGGACCCTTCTTTATTACCCCTTAACGGCAGTCTTTGTGCTATTCTGTAACACTGTTGTCACCTCTCACATAGGCGATTTCAATCTTTTGAAAACAGTTGCAGACTGCTTGACCCAGAGCGGCACAGCCAGCGAGCACATTGCCAACCTGCAGAAACTCTTTCAGGAGTTTGTCTCGCTCTCTCAACGCTTTCTCAATGAAGAAAGTTCTACCGCGCTCACCAACCAAGGCGCTACTCAGACAAGTCCCTCTCAACAGGGGACCTCTTCTCAGGATGTGATTCACAACCCCAATTCGCCCCACTGGTTAAACACAAGCACTACTTGGAGTTCGGGAATTTTGGCAGGCTTGGACAACCATTCTTTCGACCCATCGTTTCCCATGTTAGAACTATCTTATGGTGATTCAACTTTCTTCCTGGGCGGTGGAGCTGATATACAACCGTTTAGTTCTGCTTGACCTGGATTTGTTGATCCTAGGGTGGGAATCACGCAGTTCCTTTTTTTTTTTTTTTTTTTTTCCTGTTGTTTAATACCAGATACCACATCTCTTTAAGGCACATATCAACACGTTGTACATATTTACTACCTTGTCCATCTAAATATTGCACATAAATCAATAGCTTCTCGAGACTTGTACCGGACATGATGTGTTGATATTGCCGTCAGGAATTATTTATACTCAACTCTGCTCTCTACAAGCACGATATATCCAGGATTCCCCCCTCTCTCTTCCATGAAACCTACATGATTGTACAGTCATACGTTTCCAGCACCAGACAATTTCCCCTACGCGGTCTACCATAGATCCAAGATGTATTTAAAAAAATGCAGTGAAGATGATACGTATTTGATAGGCAAACAAGATCTGGTTCTTAATTCAAAGGAATGGCACGGTCAAATCAACCACTACTAATGACCATGAAATCTAAATACACTGAATCGGGCATTGTCCACCTTGTCCGAGGGATATCTGGAGATAACAAGCGCTGGATGCACTCTCCTCCGTTTCTCCCTTTATCCGGGGTGCTTACTGGCACACACCCTGGGTCTGGTCGGGGGTTTGCTATTCACGTGTGTTGATTAGTTATTGATTCAAAGGATTGATCGTAGTTTATAAATGAATGTTGAACAGTGTGTGTGTGACATACCACGCAAAGACCGCTGTCGCAGACTCCCATGCTTCCATCTGCCTTGCAAGGCTGGCCGGGAGCGATCTATTAACTCATTAGTATTTATACAACGAAAGCAAAGGATCTTTATAATCGAGAGAATGATTGACGAACCTTAGCCTGAGGGGTGGCAAGAGCAGTGCCAACAAGGGCAAGAGCGGCGAAGAGGGTGAAACGCATTGTTGCAGAGGGTTTGTGAAAGAAGAGCTGGAAGAACTTGTATGTCAAGTAGATGTTGTAGTTTTGTTTAATGAGGATCATGAAGAGTCTCTAGAAGTGCATTTATACCTTCTTTCCAACAACTATAACTGCGATTCACAAAACCCATGATGCAACTGTACGTACTTCGTACACTCGGATTGATCTCCTGTATCCACGACTCCCCCTACACCGATCAATTACAGTAACGATGAGCATTCACCTCCTACTTGCTATGTCAATCATCATCGGTCTACCGGGGATGCATCGGGAAGAATAAGGTGTGGTATAGAGCAACCGGAAAATTGATTATCACGGAGCCCTAGGGGCCCCCGATGGTTCCCCGAAACTACGACTCCTGGTACTGTTGTGGATCCTCCCGAATATGCCGGCTAAAAATAGCCGGTAACAACTGTCGAGGTTTACGAAATACTACCTAATAAGCGAAACCCGGCCAGTAATCGCTGTGATTTTATTATCTAGAGCTGAGTATAGCGGTGTTAGATGTACTTTTGAAACAATCGTTCTTGGCGCTCATGCCATTGAGACACTTCCGAGTGTAGCTGCTCGGGCCGAGATGTCTGTTGTGGGGAATTAGGGCTGTGAAGGAAGGACTTGGCAATTAGTCCTCTGCTGAACTATGAGTTGATAGGAGGTATTTGGTCGGTGTGATGTTTCAGAAGCATTAGCGGGCAGGTGCAGAGGCTTCGTGGCTTGCTTTGAAGGAATCTCGTATGGTAGTACCACACCATGACGCTGCTGGCGATTGCTGCCTCTGTTCCTCAAGAGCTTGGTAGGAGCTGATGTTCGGACAAGAAATCACCCGATAGGCAAATGTCTAAACGAAGTAATTCTATTGGTAGCCTTTAGAATGCCTCATGTAACTAGTTACTTAACTCTAGTAAATGTTCTGAACCGCGTGTCATCCACCCCATCGCATCAACTCAACTCCCACCCAAAGTATTCAAACAAAGTAACGAACTGGTTCAATGAGCTTCCACTAATTCAATCGCCTTCTGAAGGACAATCCGATCACTGTCGAAGCTGAGCCTCTTTACTGCCTCATTCAACGGAAAGAATTTAGGAGTAAACCCCTCCTCCGCCTGACCAGCAGATCTAGCAACCACCCCTTCATCCAGAGCAGCAATATACCACCATATAATCTTGACATCATTAACACCAGCACCACCTAACTGCCTCATGGTAACCATGAAGGGCTCGGTGAGATTCGAGTAACAGCGAGGTTTGTCTGGCATATGTCCCTGTTCGTCCATTGGAGGCGCACGAGTATGCATCGTTACAGGATAGAGGTGGGCTTGAGAGCCAGTCTCTTCGCGGACTTCGCGTAGTGCCGCCTCGTGTCGAGATTCACCACAGTTGCGACGTCCCTTGGCAAGAAGCCATTCGTTTTTTGCGTGGTAGTGGATAAGGCATACAGTCTTGTTTTGGGCGGATAGGTCGAACAGGATAGCTCCGCAGCTTTCGACGAATTGTTCTGAGGTGTATTGGGTGGTGGTGTTGGGTGAAGTTGTCATGATGGAAGGTTTACTGTAGTCAGACGGTCAGTCTCAGTTAGAGAATAGCTATACTACCTAGTATATCGAGAGTGTACTCGCCATGGTCATTTGAATTGGTTTCATTTAAAGAGGAGTGGGGGTTGGAAAGGAATCTGTGGGCACAAAGGGGATTGGATTGAAATCAGGTCAACGAACGATACTTATTTACCCCTCATTACTACGGGTATCACAACGTGACCTGAATCAGCGGTGGAGCTTCAAAATGGAGAAGTAGATTACGGTATGGTGAGCTTTTTGCCAATCGAAGAGAAAGATATACCCAGTTCTCTCCATCAGTGTCCTGTTACAGCCAAACTGTTGGTCAAACTACTCGATGGTAGTTAATCGCTTTATTGATGCGAAAGTAGTTGTCATTCTCATGGTTCAACGGTTCTGCCGACTATCTAAGGGTATAATTCTAGCTGACATGTGACATGTCCTGTGTCCACTTTTCCTCGTTTTTTTTTTTTTTTCCCAGTGGATGATCAGGTATGGCTCTTTAAACAGTATGAAGATCTGCGTTGAATAAAAGTAGGGGGAACCAGATCTTAACCAAACCAAAGACTTTTGTCTTGTCATAACCTAGAATCTCTAATTCAAAGCTTACGAGGAGAATTAAACACGAAACAGCATGGGCCTCTATTGTAGCAGTCTACTAACATTTGGCCTCCCTGAATAGATCAGCAGCAGGCTATTACAGTGCAAAGCTAGTAATGACAGGACAATATTCATACCCCAAGCAGTCAACGAGCAGAAGCACACAGCCCTGTGTGGCAGGGTTGAACTTTTGGTCACCTGGACATTGAGGATCTCTGACCAGGACACACTTGTTCAGCGCCTTGCCCAGCTCAGTATCGGGATCATCACAGATGGGTGTCTGTCCAGAGAGACAAGCACCATCATCATAGATACCACTGGCCAGCTGGGAACTATTTGATGTAGTAGTACTAAACTGTTCAGCTTGATCGATCTCTCCTCCACTTCGGAAATTCATGGAGCCAGAGCAACGTGGGTCCTGGCTACAAATGGAATGTTTGGGGCTGAGCATCTCAGCTTTTATAAACAGCGGTACGTAATTGTGATCGTTTAAGATCCGAGATTGAGATCTGCCTGCCGCTTTCGGTACCGGAATTAAGTACCGAATTGTGGGGATGGTAATCAGCTTACTCTGTAGATTTCGCTGAGACGGAGCCCTAGAAAGAAAAGTCGCCGATCATATCACTGATTGCTACCAAAGTATTTGTCAGAAGAGAATTCACTTCGTTAGGGTATGTACATCTCTAGCTGTAAAAGACGATCAGCTCTCAGCTTAGGTTCTATTTACTGCGCAGCTGAGCGAAGCGAAGCTAGTATTATACCAGTAGTACTACTCTGGAGTAGGAGGCTGCACGAAAGGATCTGTATTCTGATTGGTCCACGGTTCTGGGCTTTTATTGGTCGAGAATTGTGTAGTCACACGGGGTCGCAATCGATTAAGACTATCGAGGTAAGCTACGGAGTAGATAGTGTAAGAAATATAGGTAGTTAGTATAACTTAATGCCAGGTCCTTGAGCTGGCAGCCACTACTATCTAGTACTAGTGTATAAGTGAACTGTTTTGCTGCGAGTTGGGTCCTGTTACCCGATTCGGATGCCGCCGCTTTTGTGAGGGCAGCACGTGAGGGCTCCGTGTTCGCTCCGGGCCACTCACTGACTGCTCAGTGAGCACGCACTGCAGCTCCGGTTACTCCCGGATTGCTCTGGCTCAACTCAGTGTATAATCCCGGAGCAACTCCAGTCCACTCTCTGTTTTTTTTTATGTGACCAATAGCAGTTCTCTAAACCGTGTACACACTAAGTAATCCAGTATATAATCTAACCTGTATATATCTGGGGGTGTCTCAAAGACAAGAGCTGGTAATCTTTTTTAGTCACCGTATACTATGTTCGATACTAAGAAGCTTCAAGCAGAATTTGAAGTAAGTGATAAGAGGTCATTTCTAAGTAAAGAAACTAAAGGTATTGTACTTCAATTGCGAATATAAATATACCCTATTTGCCCAGAATATTTTTACTTTTATCTTATTTTGTACTAATATTCTATAATTCTTTCTCTTGTACTTTTTCCAAACTTATTTTATCTTGCTATATTTCAGCGGCTGATAATAGCTACATGCTCTTCTTCATCGAAGGCTGAGTAGGATAAAAAGAAAAGAAAAGCTCGCTGTGAACTCTATAAACAGCGAGACTATAAGGCGAAAGCTTATCAACAGAAAGATATCCAAAGGACAAGAGATAGAGCTTTGCTTAAAATGAAAAAGAGATATACAGGGAAAGTACAGAGATATAAGGAGTAAATATCTATATACTCTAATGAGATTGCAAGTAGCGGTATGCTATGAGAGGTAGAGAGTTGCCGACCTTCTGTAGGTCTGGGGGGTAGCTACGGTCTTTATATACACGTTGGGTAAGGCTAGAGTGGCACGGGTTCCCCGCTGGACCCGACCCGAATCCACCCCAACCCGGCTCCGGGTCGGGGGCGGGAATAGAAGACTGAACCCGAGCGGGTTTTTCTTGGCATTACAATATCGATTTTCTAGATTTTTTCTAGATTTTTATATAGATCTAGAATATATATATATCTAGAAAATCGATATTGTAATACTAAGAAAAACCCGCTCGGGTTCCCTGTACCCGGACCGGGTTGGGGCGGGTTCGGGTCGGGTCTAGCGGGGAACCTGTGCCACTCTACGAGCTATTTTCTCTTAAAAAGATCTATCTGTTTAGGTCAGCCGGATTCTTATCTTTTTTACTCTTAAAAAAATTTCTTGCTTTGAAAGAAATTACCTGGGAGTATTTCTTCTGGGGAGTATTTTACTTGTCTAAGGAACTTAAGACTATTTGTAGTAATTTTCCAAATAATAAAAATAACTAGGCGAGCATTATACAACTGACCAATAGTAACAGATACCTGACCCTATTTATCGATTTAGCGAGACAGCATCTGATCAACTGCTTCAAACGCATAAGAGACTGATCTCCTATTATATACTTCCACATTTCAATACAATTGTACGCGGTATTCTTAAAGATTTGTCATTTTTTTACACACTTATAGTGAAAACAACAACATAATATTAAAATAAACAATATAGAGTCTCAAGTAGACTCGCCGACTCTATATATTTTAATCCAAGGGGTTTACCTAGAGATAAGGATACCCTGCGAGTAGACATCGTCTTGCTTAGTGATTCAAAATATTATTGAAGATTGATACAACTACTCTAATAGGAACACACTGGTCATTCCTCATTCCATACACTTTTATTTAATCTGCATATGGTGCTTTAAAGAATAGATACAACAAACCACAAGACCCTTTCCCAATGCCGGCCTCTATATACCATCACAATTAGGCGAGAACGAATCATAGTCCGCGCCCTTCACCATTACTTGATCATCCTATACAAAAAGCACCATCTCGTCAAAGTACAAGCCAGGCTTTTTCAGCATATTATAAAAAGAACTTTAATTATAACTGGCGTAAGACCACTGGCTGCCCTTTTTCATTTGGATGCGCCTTTATATTGCCAGATTGGTACATATTGGAGCGAGGCTGTTTGTTCGTACGCTCATTGCAGCCAACAGCCTTGGTTATCTGGAGGTAGTGAGCTCATTACTGACAAGCATATTATAGATTAATACTAAGGCTGAGACAGTAAACTTAAACAACACAAGCAATCTATCAGCAAGGCATAACAAGCATCCACCTAGAAAGGAGAACTTCCTGAAATATATCTTATTACTTAGGAAAAAAGACTTCAAACAGAATATACATTGCTGGAATAGGGTTCGTGAGTTCCTGTCGAGCTATCGGAAATTTACTCATACTCAGTTGCAAAAGTCAGTGTCTGAGTACTGTAGTCCACTTTTCTTGATTAAGATACTAATATATACCACTAGACTCAAATACGAATCCACGCCCAGTCTAGTGGGTTGTTGGCTTATATACAACATATGCCTAGCTCATAACTAACTTATGGGAAAACGGGTATTACAGCATACATCGTACGTAGACTGTGCGGGAGACTGCACCAGCCTATGTCTGCGATGTCCCGTATTCTACCCGCAATGGCCCGTAGAGTGTAGGGACCATCTATATATAGAGCACTGGCACCCGCAGTCTTCCCCAACGGAACAGGCTATTGAACCGCGGCCGTCTCCATAGTCCAAGTGGACCATTGGTTAAAGAGACTTCATTGTTTCTGAAGGTAAATTTCAGCCTGGTTAGGCATCGAGTAAGCATACGACACAATGGGAAGAGCACTTCCGCGGACCGTACGCCCAGCTTAGTGAGCGTATAGCTTAGGATAGAAGTCGTACTTGGCCGCAACATGCGGGTGCCTATACTGGCTGTAAATAATGCAACACTTAGATTTCTGTTTCTCCGCTCTCCAGCCTTCTAAGCAGAACCAAGATATGCTCCAATGCCTTGCTTCGATCCCTGTTAGTCTGCGCCCATCGATCAAACGGTTTTAACAAAATGAACGTGGTCTCTTCGACCAAGTATATATCGTTCAGTGCTTGCAAGTCCAAAGTTATCCTTCGCCTGGCCGTGGTCGTGTTTTCCTCCGTCTGTTTGGCAATACTACTACTGATTTTTGAATCTTCATCTTCATTCCATGAATGGATGGTCCACTGACACACAATCTTCATCCCCAGCCCGACCTCAATCTCAGCGCCAAGGCCATCGTCCAGGTTTGCCAAGGAGCACTTGGTGAGAACGTCAGACTCCGGATTGCGGACTGAGAAAGCTGTTGTGTCGGAATCGATCGGGTGGGTCGCTGTGATTTGAAATCCGGGGTATAGGGCGCGGATCATCAGCTGATGCTGGTGGAAGGCTTGGATAATTGTGGAACGGGACAAACCGCGGGGAATGCCCTCTACCTGGCGGTGATGGAGCGTTTTATACAGGACTGCCCATGTAAGTTGTAGACTTTATTCTGGGGGTATGCTGCTACTTACTGGAAAACATGGATTTCTGATTGAATCAGTCCGCGAGGGCCAAAACATCCAAAGAAAGGAGATATTATCTGCTGTGCTTCAGGTTAATTTGCAGGCTCGAGAATGACAGACCAGAATGAGTAATGCTCTGCTAGGTTATTTAGATTTCATCTTGGAAGACATGACTGCATCAGTCGGCACTCGGCAAGGCTGGCAGCCTTAACCCCACTAATAACGAGCTATTAGTAATAGGTGATGCGGTATTTTTCTCTCCAATGTAACCTCATACAAGTTAGATCCACTTCCAAGGTGGAGGTCATAGCTTCAGCTATGACCCTGTGGAGTACTGGAGTCTATGGAGTACGTATGGAACCACAAGGGCTGAAAGGTTAGTCTATAAAGCAAACCTAATTAAATTGCATGGATAACAGTCAAGCATTGCCAAAGCAATTCCCGGAAGCCAATATACTTTTGGATTTGTTCTTAACCTAGGAAACTGTGCAGCTTCCTATTGAACTCCTAATCAATCATCTTTTTTAGCTTGCGCGGCAGTCTGGTTGCTTCCTAAATCCAGTGGAGGAGTCATCAGAGCTTGCTGGAGGGATAAGACTACTTGGTTACCGCAGGAAACGACCTAGACATGATTATTGTGGAGTTCCGGAACGCTAAGCACGTCCTGCCAAGGTCCAAACTCTGCGCAATATCTAATGATTTATACCCAATTGTTCACTAGCTTAATGGGCACACTATAGGTTGGGGCCAGAGATGCGCCTCTTGTAGCGTATTATTGGTAGTTGATTTAGCTCTCATACCTCGTAACTCCGAGAATTGGATATGGCCATATGGATGAACAATACACGGCCTTGAAATACAGCATAGCCCTTGTAATAATAAACTTGAACTCTTCTCCATGATATGACTTTCCTCCTGTCTGCTCATACCTGCAACAGCCCTCTCGTCTGAATGACTTTTTTGTTAGTGATACTGTTTTATCGGAGTACATTGTCTGCGGACTGTTAAAGATGCTCATAAAATGGCTCCCACGACATATCCTGTTTCTTTGGCCCCGCAGTATATTGTTATCCAATCAGAATATATTGATTATCATTGCTAATGGGCACTTCCTGTTTAGTTGATCCATGCAATCGAACGGAATAATATCCCAGCAGCCACTGCCCAATAGCACTCCAACAAGCATCAAACTACTCTTCTAGAGCGGGATCAGGGCTCTTGATTGTATTTTGAATTTCACTCACTCTGTATTGATATGGGCCCATGGGGACGATATAACGCAGTATAGAGTTTAGCTGGCCGTGACCCGTAACCTTGGAGGCTTGCTTTCTTTATCTTTACATTCCAAACCAAAACGTGTGTGAGGACTTCACACTTAAATAAAATCACAGGTTGGAGCAGACTGGGTGAATCCTGGTAATATAGCGTGAACTGTACTCGGGTCAGAGACATGAACATGAGGGATATAAACCAACAGGGTGAGCGGGGATGCTCCAACAAGATGCATTGAACTAACTACTTGGAACCCATTACCTGCACTAGGCGATTCATTTGGCGGACTTATCCGACATTTAATCTGCGAGATATTGTTGCCCAATTCTAGTACGCTACAAGTGCCAACCATGTTATCTCCGTTCTCCAAATACTGCAGGAGCCTTGTGCAGTGGAGCTGAGTAAGGTGATAGAGGCTGCAGCAGACAGCCTTAGGATAACAACTAGCTGGTGTGAGGTTGCAATGCATTCTCGCAAACTGGAGCCATTATTTGTAATCAGGAGTCACCGAATAGTATAAAGGCAGGGACTGACACGGCCAACCTGATACATATACAACAAACTCAATTACTTTTGCCAAGTGTGGTGTCTTTAATACTCTCCCTACTCGCTTCCATCAGAGTTCAATTGATTCCGAGCGTCCAGCAACATGAAGTCTTATCCAGAGGTTTCCAACTATATCTCCGATGAGCCCGAGAAACTCCTAGCTCCTTTCTCTCGACAGGAAAACAAACGTTTACGAAATGCCACCAAAGCACTCTTTGTCCTCACAGCCCTGATGCTCGCCGGGTTCATCCTCACTATATACCTAACCATCCAGCTCGGCAAGGAGCGCCAATTCCTCCTGTATCTCGAACAGCAGAAAATCTCCGTCGAGAACCACGGCAGCAACCCCATCGCAAAAAGAGGTATCCTCTGGACCCTAGGAGCAATCCTCTGGACAGGAAATCAAGTTTTTGCCCTCTACGGTCTCGCGTCTAGCTGCAGTGAGTTCAACAATAGCGCTGGTAATGCCGCATTATGCATCTGGGGCGCCATGTCCACCGCCGCGACTTTCATCGGCGCTGGATACACCTCTGCCAAGGGCTTGAAAGCCGTCGCTGAGAAGATCAACTGGTATGGGACGCAGACTGCTTGGAAGCGAGAGGACTACCTTGCTGTCCTAGAGGCGGATGTCGCAGATCTTAGCGGCCATCTCAGTCACGCCCTCCAGGTGCCCGTCACGCACGATGGGTTTATGAGACATGATCATCCCAGATTACGTGGTCTCAATCTGACCGAGGGTGCGCTGTGGCCTGTTTTTCATTTCTACAACCACCAGAATACGGGGATGCATATGACGGTAACAGGCACTCACAACACACATATGGTGATGTCATTCGGGTTTGGCCATAAAAGTGACAACGGTAGCGATATCCACAAGAGGGAGGCGTACAACGACGAGAGGTTTTCGAATGGTGGTCTTGATTTCACGAGCTGCTGGGAAGATGAAGCTTCTCATTACACGCTCAACACTGGCTCTGATTACCAGCAGATGGACCGTGATATGCAGTGTTATTATCCAGATTTGTCGGCGACTTGGGGGGCGGAAGTGCAGATTTATGATGATTCGAAGCGAGTTACTGTTGGCTCTGGGTCGATTGCTGCGTTTCGGGGGAGTGATCATGCCAGTAGTATTAGTGTCATGCCTGGGTGTCCTTCTGGGGTGGATACTAAAGCTAGTTGCAAGGCAGCTTAGATGGAGATGACCATAGCAAGGAAGTGAAGTTATAGGCTAAAGGAGATCCAGACAACGGCAGTATTAGCAGTAATCCTCATTATCCTGTCCTAGCTTGCCTATGTTACATGGCCGCCATATAGGGTTGAGCCGTCTAGTGGCTCCGTAGAACACTTCCTGCAATGGCTGCGGGAGTAGCGAGATAAACGTATATAACATTTCAATGTGCGATTTCTGTGGCCTATCGCCTCATCCTTTTCATTCTTGACTATCTCACTATCTAAGCTAGCTCTCCCGCTTGGTGTTGTGGGCCCGCCTAGCGGCCCGGAAGAACCCATCTTTCCGGGCCTCCGGGCCACCAGACGGAAGCCCCTACCAACATAACACATAAAAGCAGGAACACAAAATAGCTCTACACCTAAAGCTCAGCCCCTAGAGTTCACCCTCAGTCTCTCTACCCTCTACCGTCTTCCGTATCACCGGCTATACCGTACAGCCTCATAGTCATGTTTCACCGCCGTTGATGAGTTACCTGCCACTCTGAAGACGATCCGCCCCGTCAAGGGTGCAGGGGGGAGGGCTCCAGTTGGGCGTAGTAGCCTACCAGGCCCCGGATGCTTTCCCCTCATTTTGAAGCCGCTTTCCACAGACCTCCTCTTCGTCCTTTCTGAGCCGTATTTCTTGTTTTTAAATAATGCCTACAGGATTTAACCATCCTAACGGTACACAAGGAAAAAAAGCGCTCGGAACATCAAAATCAACACCCAAGGAAGATTCGTTGATTTTTGTTCCCATCGTAAATTTGAGGGTTTATATACAACATAAAATCAATACGAGAAAATCAGGCCTTTTCTTCGATGGGGGCTTTTTACCCCTCTAAACTATCCTGACGGAAGAAAAGTCAAGTTATCAGAAACCAGGAATGAAGGTAGCCGAGTTAAAAATTTTCCAGCAACATTTGTCAACCAGTATACCAAAATATTACAGCATGCCGTATATTATCAGGATATATTATTAGGTGCAGTCAAAAGTAGATTATTCAATCTGAGCAGGCTCCCTGGGAAAATGAAGGGCTTCGAAGTCGTCCGCCAGAACTTTCACGAGGAGTTTGCGAAAAGGTTTATTGGGGCCCAGCACAATATATTTCACCAAAAATAGCCTATGCGCTAAATACTTCGAGCCGAGGAACTGACAGGTAGATTGTAAATATAGCTGCCAACCTATACAATAACAATGCTCCAGAAACTTGTATTCGGCGCTGTCATTATTTTGGACCATATAAGGCTACTCTCATGGCTCTAAGCGACAGGTGTACTTTTAGGCATATTTACCGTCAACTGGTGTCTACACGAATATACTTGACGTCACGGTGAATGAATAATTCCGGATATCGGACAGACTCATGGAAAACGTCTTCTATTATATCGTCTCTATCGGGGGTGCTATTAGTTTCTGTCTTATTCTGCGACTAGTACCGTATCTAGCGCGCCTAGGAGAGAGCATATATTGGTTCTACAGAAGATATCTGACTAACGTGAATATCATAAGCCGTCGTCATCTCGTCGGCCCATTCTCATGGGCTGATTTGGGATTCTGCATCATATACATCTCGTTAAACATAATTTTCGTGTTTTATCCGGATGGCCCAATTTCGGCCAGGGGGCGCAGGTGTGGGATACTTGCATTGAGCAATATGGCTATCCTCTATGCCAGCCCTAGTATAAGCTTTCTGGCAGACCTTCTAGGGGTCAGGCTGCGCACCTGGCGCCGGTTGCACCGGGCTGCAGGCTTGATGACATGTGCCCAGACAGGTTTGCATATTATATTCAATCTGACTGGCACCCAGTCTATACTGTTACGAGAGAGAGGAACGATATTCGGCCTTATAGTGAGTCTCAAATGCTATAAACATCGCTTCTTTTTATTTCAATCAAGCCCCTCAACCTAAGCCTCGCTTCTTATGGATGCTTATAATTCAGATAGATACTGATAGTGCAGATAGGCTGCAGCCTCTCTTTTCCTAGTCATGTTGCTTCCCCTTCCAATCATCCGTCGACTTATCTATCCAGTATTCTACTCATCCCATTACCTTCTGGCCATAACACTGATCTATGCGACGTGGATGCATATGCCCCGCGGTTCCTCAGCCTCATGGTACCTAACATACGCGACAC